ATAAAGGGTTTTCTTTTTTGCCCCGAAAGCATGATCATATCTCTCTCACTAACACAGAATGAGCTATATTGTTAAACAAAGGGCTTTTCGTTAAAAATATAAATAGTGGAATTCTTTCAATCTCATGAAATATACATTGTCCTTATTGTTTGAAATGACTGCAGTGTTCTCTGAAATGTAATATATATTTAAACATTTCCTTTTGAAAAGACAGTTAGTGATGCCTGAAAAATTTTTATGGACTTTTATCTCCCCAGAATTATTACCTTATTATTTACTCCAAGAAATTTATACGCAGAACAAATCTGTAAGTTTGTATGCTTCAACCTTTCTAAATAACCTCTAAAGAACACATTTGCCAATCTTAGGATGTCTCTTTTCTAGTATAGGAGCTCATTAACTTTTGCCAATATGATGGCCAATATCAGTGATATTTGGTTTATTTAAATTCCATTTCATTTATTATCAGTGAGAATTTAGCATCTTTTCACATTTTTAATTGATCTGTACATGTGGATGTATTAAATGTCTATTCAGACTTTTTGCTCATTTGTGAAAGTTAGCTATCTTTTTCTTATCAATCTGTACCTGCTCTTAATATATGTGACTATACATCGCAGTGTTATATAAATTATAAATATTTTGTTTTCCTTTTGTCTAGGCAGATATGTTATTTTTAAAATTTGTCTTTATTTTCTATATTTCTTGGCCTTTCTCTAAGATTAAAAATACATTTTCATGTTTCCATCCCTTATGTATATTACTTATGGTTAGTATTTTGTTCAACTATAGTAGGTATATTGGGATTTGAAATCTAATGAGGTTAAAAATTCTATGTAATTGTAAGCTGGTGCCAGGGATACTACTAAGAAAACATTGTATAGGCAAAAGGAAAGAGGAATGATGAATAGTGTATGATTCTTGGGTGACAGGAGTGGACAGATCCAAATATAGACAAAATTGGCCTTATTGAAGAGGAAGAAGACGATGTCTTGTGAACAGAAGAGAATATAAAATGCATGTGTATATAGAAAGAAATCTGACAGATTTTCAGTCTGACAATCTGGTGGCTTTTTTTTATCTGTGATATAGATCATCTTCTGAGAATAACAAGGGATGTGGAAGAGTTAGAGATTTTTTAAGAATGGCAAATGTGTGATAAGATTAACTTTAGAGAATGCGAAATTGTGGTGACCTGAAAAAAGTAACAGGAATCCTAACAGCACTAAAACAATTTCATGTTACTGACAGTGAACTTATATTTCAATAAATCTGACTTATTCTAAAAGCACTTGGCTTCTCAGGCATTGACAGAAACAGATAATTAATTTCACATATAGGGTAGTAATTTTGTTGATCAAATGGGACCAAAATAAGTTCAAGGGAATTATTGCGTTAGCAGAAGTGCAACATATTATGGAATCAAGTTGGACATGGAGAAAAGTGAAGGAAGCAGAATACTGATATATTAGAACAAAGTAGAGTTAGAGACAGGACTGGTGATGCTAATGGGATAAAATATTTCATGTTGGAAAGAGATGAACAAGCAAGCTAGAAAGATAAGGGTGTTTGTGAAGGATGGGAGACTTCAATAAGACATTTTTGAGATGAAACATTTAAAGGTATGACAAAGACCAAAGTGTTCCTATGAGAGTGGTTGGCTGAAGCAGAGTGAAGTCACTTGGAGATGAAGAGGCAAGAAGACTGAGTGAGCAAGCCTTAGAAGGATCATGCACATGGCCATTGATGGATTGGAAGGCTGTGATTCATCATCACTGGTGAATAAAGAGGATGCCTGGGAAGATGTAGGCAACACTGAGAAGAAGGAAAATAAACTTTAATGAGATTCATAAATAAATGAAAGAGGCTTGAGGAGAATGATATCAGTACGATGTTCTGAGTCAACAGATAGAAACTAACAAGAGAGATGAATTTGGAAATTTATAATAAGATAATTTCTTTTATATCTATGGGCTAGTGACCTTTGAAGTCTTTCAAATTATATAGTAATTTATTATAAGATACCAGACTGTATTATACTATATTATATGCTATAATATGCAAAGTATAGTCACCACGCTATGAGGTGCAATATCAACTATCTCTGGGAATCATTTATTATAATTTAACCAAGAAAGTCAAAAATATAATTTCTGTTCTGAAAAATCTACCTGCTTTTCCATGTATCCTATGGTACTCTTGTTCCATGTAACCTGAAATACAACATGCAATTTGGTTTATTTTTCTTTTCCTGTAAGCCCTCAGACTAGTTATAGGGGTATTCTCATTAAGCAGTCTTTAAATTTAGTATCTTTCTCATACATGTTAAATTGAAGGGTCTATAATTTATGAAATAGCTTTCAAAGTACCAAAGGTCACGGCATGCTAAAGCAAGATTTTCACTCCCTTGTAGGTATTTTGTGGGGGAGTCAAACTACAAACCAGCAGTTATGTGAGAACTTCCTTTGCAGTTTTGCACACACAATTTGATTAACAAAATACCATAAGTCATTATTAGATTGTTTTTAACCTAAACTCTTTCTTGGAGGTTTTTACATCAGATTATCTACTATATAATTTTATTAATTCTAGTCGGGAAGAATTTTACATTGTTTCATACCTATTTACCTACAAATTTATTTTCAAATTTATTCTTCAAGTCGGTGAGTATGATCGCTTCTGCTTATTTTCTTCTCTCAAAATGTTAAAAGTGTATGTCATTTTTTATATTAATTTCAACTATTAACTCAAAATGTATTTAATAATAGTTTGAGAAAAAGCCATTTCTGTAAAAATGTGGTACATGTTCATTTTATAAACAATAGTGTGAGGTATGATTCCAGCTACCTCTTCTATTTTGTTTTCTTTCTTTGCTCAAAATTTTCTTATTTTATTTTTCTGACTACCTAGCCTCCTTTCTCAAGTTATTTTATTGAATAAGTCATCATTTTTTCATTACTTTGAAGTGTTGCATCAGTAGGTATATTCATTATTTGGTTTTGATACCTACTGACAAACTACTTTCCAGAAAGGAAAAATTTAGATTAAGCAGAAGCCAGTGTAAATGAATGTCTGTTTTCTTGCACATTGTCCAACTCTGTCATTACATTTAGTTTATAAACATTTACTGATTTTATGGGTGAAAATGTACATGAATAATTTGTTAGTTTGTATTTCTATCATTAGTGACGAAATGAACGTCTTTTAATGTGCTTATTGGTAATAAAAAATCTTTGCATTATCAATAAAATGATGCCTGTAACTCAACATAACTCTTTTCCTCATCTATGTGTGACACGAAAGTTATAATTATCTACTCATATTTTCTTTAATTCTTTGTTAGTTTTATTGTTTCATGGTTTACAATTAACATTTTGGTTTGTGTAAAATTTGTTTGAGTATGTGTTGTGAAATTAGTGATCTAAGTCAATTTTCATCTGATTCTATCACTTTTAAACTTTCCTTAGACCATACTTATTCCATTATTTATTCTCAGTAACAATACTATTTTCCTTCCTTCTCTGGTCCAAAAAAAATAGTTTAATTCTTAAATACTTAAGCAGCAACATCCTTACACTCCCTATATACCCTTAAATCAACTACCATTTCAGCTGGGGGATATATATGAACTGGCAAAAACTTTCAGAAAACAAGTTGAGGAAGTATAAAAATGTCCTTAATTTAAAAAAAATTTATCTCAGGGTTTTTTTTTTAATTTTTGGAAGTTTACTCTTAGGAAATAATCATGGATATAGACCTTTTCTATCTAATATTTTAATATTAATTTAATAGAAAATAGAAATATTTTCTATTTAATATTTTGAAGTACTCAAGATTTTACCTTTAAGTAGCTTTTAACATATGTTCTTTAATTTTCAATAAAATAGAAAGTAATGTAAATCTGCCAAAACTCTACGTATGAGTAACTATTGCAAACATAACATATTATAAATCTATTATTTTACTTTGCCTATCAAGAATATTTGTCATATTAAACAGTTAGTGGTGTTTTTGGGTGTAGATGTGTCACAACTTATTTAACAACTCCCTTAACTGTGAACACTTCTGTTGATAACATTTTCTTTGTTCATTTTTTTGTTCTTCTAATCCAACTCATACAAAATAAAAACAAAATACTTCTGCTGCATAACTTTGAATATTTTAAAAAATTTTGTAACATAAGTTGTTTAAAATTGAATTACTAGTAAAAAGCCTGAATATTTTGTGTTTTAATAAGTATTGATAAATAAGTTAGTGCTTACAATCATTTGCCAATTCAAAAAATATAAATTGTTTAAATTATGTAATGTTCTCATAGGTGAAAATTGTCTATTCTTTTAACTTGTCTTTCTTTATATAATAATAAGATCGAAAATTTAATAAATTGAATTTTAGAAATTTCTTTTTTATTTTCTTTATTCATTTTTGGTGGTTCATTGGCATTGTCTCATTAACTTAGATGGTCCGTATGTGTGTGCCTCTCTGTGTGAGTGTGTGTGTAAAAGTAAAAATGGTCTGATTAGGTAGAAAAAAGGTGGCAGGCTGGCAGATTGCAAATGTAGAATGTACCTAGTACCTGAAAGAGATGAATTTTCTCTCTGCTAGTAACAGAATCCACTGAACAATAAATTATTTCAGTCATATAATGTTTTATATCAACCTCGTTTGAAATATAGAGCATTGATATCAAATTTAAATTTTCAATTCTTCATCAATGCAGTTGTGTTTTAATCACTGCCCACACATTATTGACCTTATTAATTATACAGAGAACGCTGAGAATGAAAAATGTATATACTTAATCCACTCCTTTCAAAGCTAATTCAAGAGGAAATGAAATATTTAACCTTATCAAAGGAGGGTAAATTTATTCTTCTGAATAAGGAACACTGAGAAGTTAGGAGAGTGATTTAGACCCACATTTATTACCTTTTTTGCCTCATCAATACTATACCTAAATGTTTGCTTGTGCATCAGATTGAGTGCATTATTCACTGTCTGATCTGGGACAATGATCACTTAACTCTTTTCCTTACATTTCTATTGCTTAGAAATTAAAGAGAAACACAGCAAGTTATCAAGACTGAACTGAAGCAACTTGTCTTTTCTGGAAAAAAGATGCTTAAAAATAAGCAAAACAAAGATGTTGCAAACAAGCAAGAGGTAACATACACAGAATTGAAATTTCCCATGTCTCAACAGAAGCAAAGAATACCCAAGACAGACCAGAGCAATGTCGTATCAAGTGAAGAGCAAGCAAAGTTCATGGAACTGAAATTTACCTCTTCTCATCTACAGCACGAAAGAAGGTTTGCTAGGAAAAAAAGAAAAGGTACAGTAATATATGTATTCTTGTTATTAGCTGGATCCTGATTCTTGGGTTTAGAAGATTGCTTCTCTCAAAACCATTATAAAATTGCCACATTACACTAATTTCCTATCTTCAACACTCTCCTCAACTCTTTTAGGATATTGCCATGAATAGTTTGTCTCTGAAATAGTCCTTCAATATTTTTATTTCCTCCAAAATATCGTTGATCCAAACTCCAACAGAATTGCGTTACTTGGGAGAACTATGCAGATTGCACACATTCTATTGCTTCTTCTTCATGTTATTTTTAATTTAAAAAATAGTTCTTGATGTTAGCCTTCAATCCAGTTTAGTCCTATTCAGTCCTACAAATATTTTTGGAATTTTCCTGTGGGCCTGCTTTGGAGTTTGAGACCTACAAAAATGAAGGAGAAATAACCACTTATATTCAAAGAACTAAAAGAATTTGTTAGAACAAAGACAGATTATTTAAAAAACAGATATTTTGGAGGTAAAACCTTTAACACTTCATGATTAACTGGATACAGGAGGTAAAGTTGTGAAATGAGCATAATATTGTAATAAGTTTCCTAGACTAAGTGATTAGGAAATTAGTCATCTTACCCACTATTAAGAAAAATAGTGATTAACTTAGTAAAAGTCAGATCAAATATGGCATTTGAATTGTCTTATAGTTCAGAGGAAAATGTTCATAATGATATCAGATTTTAGAGGCTGGAGCTCCAGGGAGAGGTTAGAAAATGTTGTGAAAGACTTAAATGAGTAGCTAAGATTGCAGGTAGAGATAATGTGCGTAAAGTCTTACACAGAGAAAAGCAGAATGGAAGACTTGAGCAGAGGAAGACCCAAGGAAGGTACATGTGAATACATGACCGGAAAGAAAGAGAAAATAAACTGTGTCAAATTAAGAATAGTGGTCTAGTAAAGTGCATATGGGAAATCATTTCCTTGGATTTAGCAATTGGAGTTTTTATTTGATTAAGGAGAAAAGCATATAAGCTGCAACTAAGAGTTAAGGGGTTGAAAGCACTTTAGCTTGCATTTAGGAATAAAACGAGTTCAGAAAGTATTTTCACAATTATGGCTGAAAAAAAACACATAAGAGAAATGGCAATAAAAAATGAAAGACCTGAATCAACACAAGGGATTATATTAAATTTTGAGAGATTTCAGTACGTGTTTAGACTAATCTGGCAAAGTTTATAGAAAAAGATGATGAAGTTACTGGCAAGGAAGAGAAATCTCCTCTTAGAGAATAAATGTCCTAGAGGAGACAGGGTGTTGTGGAATAAAGGGGCCATAAGAAAGGTTTAGACTTGGACAAATTGCTCATCCTCTGAAACGAAAAGAAGGTAATGACAAGATATGAATATATGAATAGTAATGTGTATATATATGCAGTTATGGGGTGAACAAATTAAGGGAATCATACTTCAAGAAATAATTAGTTCTTATTTTCCTGCAATGTTCAATCCAATATCACTTTTTTATAGCAGCATTTCCTTGTCTCATATGTTTAGGTTAAAATTTGGTAAATATTCCCACATTTCTTTGGTAAAATTTATGACAATTATTTCTTACCTCAACAAGGAAAAAAATGCATTTAGTCATTTCCCCTTGACTAAAAAATTGAGTGATTAATATAAGAATATTAATATTCACATGGAATTTAGAATTCAATATTGTTATTTGCATGATAAGTTTTTTCCTAGGTGTATTTAATTTCCAAGTTTGACAGCAAAGAGAGTACATTTTAGGATTGCACAGTGTTAATTTGTAGAACACTAGGCAAAGGATGCTGGAAGATGCTGGTGAGAGTGGTTAAGGTGTCATACCTTGGGCCTCAAATGAGATAGGGGAGAAACGAGGTCAAAAAGGAGCTATAGTGAGGAAGGAAATTTGGGTATCGAAGAACTGGTGTTCTCATTGTGGCTAAGGGGTAATTTTATTCAGGACAAACACATTAAAAATTAGAAAAATATATAGTTGCCCTCGGAGAGTGAGATATAACGGTTTTAAGTTTCATATTTGATGACTTCTAGGAAATGATAAAACTTAATCATTGTTTCTGTTTTCTTTAGTGTCTGACTACCTATCTATAGCATGGCAAGCAACAACTGGGAGTCTAGGGGTCTTGTGTATAATCTTGATGACAACAGTGGGTGTCTTGCTTGCAAACTGTAAGTGATCGAGAAAGTAATTTGTTGTTACAAAAAGTATATCAGCACTATATTTCATTAACTTGTTATCAAGACTGAATTTTTACATTGTTTTAATAATTTTATCCTAAATAGTACTAATACTACCATTATTTTTGTCATAGTATTTTTTACCAGAGAAGAGCAAAACCAAAAAATAGCACTTATTCCCAGTCTACCTTCTAAAAATGGTGGTAAGTATTAACTTTGTTCAGTCAACTTCTACTGCTTCTGATTACTGGGGCTAAAGGTTACATTTTTCTGAAACCCATAGACCTTCAATGAATCATGATGAACAAATGCAGTTTTATCTATGCTCAATCTCTTCTCAGGGAAATAGTCTTATTGAGTAAAATAAGAAAGACGACACAATAGAAGGTGAAAAGATCCAAAGTATTATATAGATGAGGTAACTGTTGTTTGTGATTTTATTATTATAAGGAGAAAAATGAGATTTAAAATATGCTAAATGCCAAATATTAGCTATTCATATTGCTGGTGTTTTTTTTTTTCCTATTCACCTAGTTTGAAAATAAAAATTAACCAAATAGGAAATAATTAGAAAAATGAAAATTAAGTGAATTTTTATTACACACACTCTAACATGGTTAAAATTTGAAAAGACTGACAGAAACAAGTGTTGGTAAGGATTTGGAGCCAATGTACTAGCACACATCCCCAGCAATTCCATTGTTAAACATTTCAGCAAGAGAAATGAAAACGTATGTCCACAAAAGGCACATACACAAATGTTTGTAGACATTTTGTTTAAAATAACTCAAAATTGTAAGCAATCTAAATATTAATCAACAGATGAATGGATTGATAAATTGTGGTTTAGTCATATAAGGGTCTACTCAGCAATGAAAAAGAATGAAATACTTATACACATAACCTGGATAAATGCAAAAACATTATTCTGAGTGAGGTCAGATGAAGAAAAGTTCATATTAAAGAATTACGTTTATATGAGTTGCTAAAAAATAATCTACGGTGATGTAAATCAGACCCATGGCTGCTCTGGTGAGGTGGGAGTGTGGGAGCATTAGTTGGAAAGGAATATTAGCGAACTTTTGAAGTGATGAAAATATTCTAAATCTTAATTGGGGAGGTAGTTACAAAGGAATATTCATTTGTCAAAATTCATCAAATTATATACTTCAAAGCAGTGATTTTATTGTATGTAAGCCACACCTCAATAGAGTTGATTTAAAAATAGTACAGGAAGACCTAATTAAGGGCAATGGTTTCTTGGTTGCCCATCCTCCTCTCTTAGTCTTGCACTGGCAAATGCTCTCAACTCTTCAAGCTCTTTCTTTACTACCTCTATGTTTCAAAATAATACGCTTATACTGCTATTTTTTGAGTTATTCATTTTAGATAGTATAAGTTGTTTTCTTATCATTATTAGTAAGAAAACAATGGCCATAGCTTTCCATTCTTCTTTCCCATTTTCTCCCTAACGTGCTGTCATGATCACATGATGACCTCTCTACTAAAGCCCTTTGGTCTCTATTTCAAATCTGGATTAACTGCACTCTAGATAAAGTGCTCAATTACACAGGATTTCTTTTGCTGTTTTTTTTTGTGTGTGTGTTATAAATCCTACATGGATTCCGTATTTTAATTTTTTATAGGTTTTGTGTACCATTACTTGCTTCTTTCAGAACTTAGTGACCTCCTAGAATTAGTTCGTGGGACATATATTTTTGAGTCTTTGAATTATCTTTAAGAGGTTTTCTATTTTGCTCTCTTGTTGAAAAAATACATTTTATAAGATATTATTGGTTGAAAAATGCATTTTATAAGATATTATTTCATTTTCTTCTTCCTTCAATGTACTTACAAGTGTAACAGTATTTATATGATATCCTTGGTGACATTTTTAAAATTACTTTCAAATTTTTTTAGCTTATTTCTTATTTTATTCCTTTCTTCTGAAATTTCTCAATAATATGCTTTTGTGTGGAAGTTGTTTATTTCTATTTTTTATTTTAATTGTATACTCAGTGGGTTCTTTCAGTCTACAGTCATAGCTACTTAAAATTGAATTATTATTTTGATTTTTTGCTGGATTATTAATTTGAATTTTTGTTATTTCTTTGTTAGCCTTCTCCATTCTATTTCCTTTTTTAGCAGTTTTTCCTTTTTTTATTCTGGGATTCTTTTTCTGTAATTTTATCAGTTGTCTTTGTTTTATTATCTTCCTCTCCTGCTTTCTACATTTCTGTTCTTGTTCTAGTCTGCTTTGGTTCAGACGTTAGCTTGTACCTCTCCCATATTTTAATTATCTTATTTTTATTTTCCAAGAGATCGGTTTTTGTTCTCTGGTTTTTAAAATTTTTTACAGGAACTTGTTCATCATTGAAGGAACCCAAATTATGTATTTCAGATAATTTTACATATATTGAGTTTGTTCGGGATTTTTAGTTTGCCCTTTCTATTTTCTCTCCATTTTTAAATTTCATGTTTTTGTTTTCCATGATGATGACTTTCATCAAATATCTTCCAATCCTGACTATTTAGATGCACGTTAGAGTGTTGCATTAAAAAGGCTGAGTAGGAATCTGTTTGAGTTAGAAGGCACTTGGTTGTAAGTTGTTTGGAAGCCAAGTGCCCATTTTGTTGCAAGCATGCCCCTTTCCTCCCCCAACCCCAAAATGTTAATTTCTGGAAATTATGATATCTAAAGATGGATTTTATATTATTATTGCCTGTAGGGACAATAGACTTACCTGCTGTTATTTCGGAGAAAAGACGTTAATGGCAGCACCATTCACTAATGGAGCTTAGCCCTGTTATATTTTGGCCTCGTCTTTCAGGTCTACCTTCTAATTATTTGTTCCCCTTGATCTTAAGCCTGTTGATTTCAATTCCCCAAAGAATTACCTTCTGTTCATCTTATAGACTAGGAGAATGGGAAGTTAAATTTCGGTAGGCAAAATGGGCAAACAATATTTCCGAACATAGTTTCAATCCATCCTGGATCTCCACCATCCCTAATGCTTGTCCTTCAGTATTTTATGACTCCACATCTGATCTTCTTAAGGTTTTTGAGGAATGAATAATCTAGTTTCTCAAATGCTGACTGTTTACGTTGTCATCTTCTCACATTTGCTCAATCATTTAATATCATATTATTTCTTTTCTGTCTTCTAGGGATTCAGTTAAACATATTGTCAGCTTTTTTCTCTTTCTTTCTGTATTTCTGCATCCCTTTTCCTCTTTCTCTTCTTCCTTTTTCTCTTTATTTCTTATTTCTTTACTACTGCTTTGGTTGCATTTCTAACTTTAATGGTTAATAGATACCTCTCAAGCTCTATTCCCCTAAGAGAAAGGAGGTTTGAGATTACTGTGAGGAGGTAGGGAATCAGAGTTGCTGCTCTAATATTCACCTAAAGGATGATGCCCACCAGCTCGGGCGTCTATGTTTATATGTCAATGAAACCCAGCTTCCCCTTTTCTCTTGCCTATCTTCAGTTGTCTAGATGGATAAAATTTTGAAAATTTAAAATAAACTGTTAGTTTTATATCTAGTTTTCCAATAAAACAAAAGAAATCATCAAGGGTTAAAAATGGAGAAAAAGTTTGAAATGAGAGTGATATACTGACTATGAAGTTACCAGTATTTGGGTTATTTCCTTTTTTAATAAATCAACAGTCTGGATGGAACGGCTACAAGAGAGGCAGAGGATGAGGCTTTCACTTAACGTGAACAAGAGAATTAAAAATTAGTTTATCACATAAAGCTTGAGGTTAATGAGAAAAACATTCTATGTTAGCTCAAGTTCTAGTTGAATATAAAGACCTCCCTGTAATTTCCTAGACAGGCATACTTAGAATGTAAACTTGCATTTCCTGTGGGATGCTGAGTTTGGAGGATCCCAGGTCACCACAGGAAAGCAGATGTAGATCATCCATCTAAGATAAGAGTACTAAATCAGACCCAGGTATTTGTTATATGTGAAAATTAATTTAAAATACCAAATTGCATAGGGAAAAAGTCATGAATTGTACTTAGTTGAAATAACAAAGAAAATGTCTAGATGAAATGCATTCAGGTAATGGAAGTGTCAGATACAGAATAAAAACTAGATGTCTTTCAAATATTTAAAGGGATTAAAAGTGAAATTAAAGATATACAAAAATCCGATATGGAAAATACGACAGATGTTTACAAAAGGACCAAACAGGAACTTAGTCTTTGCCTGGATGTTTTAAGAAACAGAGGCTGAGGCAAGGAATAAAGGGATGAAGCTTTATTTGAGAGAGGAAAATCCAGTTCAGTAAGGGTGAGTAAAGAGTGGGAACATGAAAATTAAAGTAACGAAAATAATGTGCTGTGATTCTGCTTATTATTTCACAATGAACAGCAAATTGACACAGCAAATCACTTAGGAAGTGTATTTTTGTTCAGTAAGCTTAATTGTTTTGGAAAGACTGCAAAGGGCACCTATGTATTTGAATAATCCATGACGGAGAGGAAAGAAAAAGAATAAAACATAACACGTAGAGTGAGGGTGGAGGCAAAAATATGAATGAGAGAAATTTGTAAAAGAAGAAATTCAAAGTATAGTTATTATAAGGAAAGATGCTCACTTTCACTGGCAATTAGGAAATGTTTTTATTAAATAATGGTATATTATTTAAAATCTGAAAGATTGGTATAGATTTGTAAAAATATGAGAATTTGAAAATGTTAAAATATACCAAGCAGATTAAAGGAAGACATACACTGTTGGTGAAATTATGGTGAGTAAAATCAAACATAGGGTTTCTTTAAAAATTATACTTTTTACTCTTCACTATTTATCTCACATAGATTCTTGTAGAGATACACTAGCAGACATGTAAAAGGATGTTTGTTACAGAAATTCGTGAAAAAGATAAAAAAATTTTAAAATTGATCATTAAACTCAAAGGCTTAGATATCTGTGATATATATATACACCATTACATATATAATAATAATCATATATATGTAATGATACATATATTATTATTATACAAATGTTAACATTATTGGTCTTGATCTACTTGACTTGACATGTATACTTCTTGCAAAAATAATGTTGAATGAAAAATATGTTGATGTCATCTCAATAAACAAAAATGCAAAATAATATGTTTTTATGCCTCTGAAAATATATATCAGTATTTAAAATGACCTTGATGAGAAGAATGTAAACCAATGTTTCTCCTCAGAAAGAGAGAGAGGAAAAGAGAGAGGGGAAAATGCAATTGTCTTCTTCAAGACAAAAGCAAGTTTAACTCTGTATTTTTGATGATGATAAAAAGATTATAAAAATATGAAAATTGTATATATTTATTAAATAGTTAAATGACAATTTTAAAGTAATTACTGAATTTTATTGTATGTATTTAAAATCAATAGTAATCTTGAAGAAAATTGAAATTGTTTATTAATTGCCTTTTTTGTTTGTATAATTATATAGTTTAGACATTTAAATAGGCATGCATAATTTTAGTCATGTCAAACATGTTTATAATATTATTTGAAATGTACCTTCCTTATAGGTGCAATTTCATAACAATTTTTAAACTGAAAATTCAAGTCAGCAAAATATGATTATTGTTAGCTATAGGTTGTATAAAATTACTCAGAAGTGTTACAAACAATGCTCAAATTTTGCTTTCTATTTAATATCTATCTGTGTAACAAACACAAAGATCTAGTAATTGTGTTAATAGTAGTTACTCATAGTACAGAACATGCATTTAACATGTTTATATTTTCTAGAATGTTCCTGTGATCTTTGTTCAAGTCACTGGATTGGATTTGGAAATAGCTGTTATCATCATTCCAGTGAACTCAAAACCTGGCCAGAGAGCCATGCTGCCTGTGCCAAGCTGAATTCCCATCTTCTGAAGATAGATATCAATGAAGAGCTGGTAGGGCAGACACTTCTGCTTTTGTGTTATACTGTAACTGTATTTGTTTGGAAGCATTAGTGATTAACACCATAATGTGGGAAACCTGAAGTTCTCAAAAGTATAAGATATTTTCTTACTTAGACCAATTTTCTTATGGAGAAATTAGAGAAACTCCATCATTTGAACATTTAATGCTAAAAAGAAAGAACATTAACAAATAGGATATCTTGAGAAAAATTCTATTACTACCAAGTGGATGTGTATAAGCCCTTGGAAGACCTTTTATTAACCATTGAGTCAGGAAGGAGAGGATTATAATATGCACACATTTCTGATTTATGATTTTTTTTCCCAATAGGAAATCTTATCAATCTTTCAAATGAAAGGATGGATAGGTCTCAAAATCAATGAAACAAATGGGTTCTGGTTATGGGAAGATGGCATCAAAGGGATCCAAAGTGTGTAAGTACAGTGAAAATAACTGGACTTTTCTGAGTGTATGTGGGATGTGCGTGTGTGTATGTTACCTGTATAAGGCATAGAAAGCGCAACTAAGAAAAAGAAAGAACCATGGTATTTGAGGATCAACATGTAGGAAATAATCGTGAGAGAATTGCCAGCCCTTTCTAAGTAATTTCATCTTTAAGACATTTACATTTTTAACTTTACTGGACTCTTAGAAGAAATTTGTGCATAGTTTTAGGCGAGTTTATAAATTATGTTTATAAACTTCTATCACATTATTATTATTTGTTATTTGACTCATAATTCTAATTAAACAAGCAGGGTAGGATTAAACACTGTCTAATATTCTGTTAGGTTTAATGTTTTGTTATTGAATACTGTCAATCTTCAGGTTATTTTATTTTGTTCTTGTTTGATTTGTTTTATTTTTTTTTATGTTGTTTATTCTTGCTAATTTTAAGGTTGGCATTTAAAATTGGCATTTTCAGATACCACACCTTGCTTTTTAATTTTTTTTACACAGATTAAAATTTCTGAAAGGAGAGAACCATAGCTGTGCATATATAGGAGGAAAATATGTTTATGCGGATGACTGTTCATCTCGGAAAAGTTATGTCTGCGAGTTTAGTATTTAGCAACTGGTTTACTAACGCATGCTCTTATTGAGTTCTAATTAATAAAACATTTACAAAATACTTTGGTTATTTATTGCTTTTATAAAATGCTTTATAAGTTATTGCTAAGCTGGTTTTGAACTCAGAATATTTATTTACATTTTTAAACCTTTAAATTGTATTGGGAGGAAAATTTGCTACCCACAAATTCCTTGGGGGTAATTATCTTCCCTATCAAAGCACACATTATTATCAATTCATCAAACAAAGTTATAAAACATCTTTTGTGAATTAAACATCTTTGCTAAATCATGGCAATACAAAGACAGGAAAGGTTTCTCTATCAGTTAGGATTCTGGCATGAAACAGACACCATTTCAGATTGCTCAAAAGATTTAATGAAGGTACTACTTACAGTGGTCAGGACAGGTTTAATGGGGAAACAAGAAATAAATAAAATTTAAGGTAAGAAAGATTAAGAAACTCAGAGACTAGCAACAGTCAGAAGCCATTACCATTGCTAGATGGTGATAGTAATAATAATAGTGAAAGTATCTGGCACTAGTTCTGGAGAGCCAATTTTTCACATTTCTTCGTTTCTTCTCAACTCAACTTTTAGTATCTTCATGTTGGTAACATGAAGTGTACCAACATGGCTTTGCATTATGAAAATCTGCAAATACTCTGACTCTTGCCTTCAAATATTTCTGTGCTGCCCCTTGGCCAAATGCACTATGTAGCCAGCTAGAGTTGTGTTCTAGTGGTTAAGATTTGGTGCTCTCACTGCTCCAGTCCAGGTTCTTTTCCTGGTCATGAAACCACATCACCTGTCTTCTGTCATATTTTGGCAGCCGCATGTTGCTGTAATACTGAAAGCCATGCCAATGGTGTTTCAAATACTATCAGGGTAAATTCATGGTGGTCAGGTTTCCACAAAGCTTCCAGACTAAAATGGACTACAAAGAAAGACCATAGCCATCCACTTCTGAAAAAATTGGCCATGAAAACTTCGTGAATGGCAGCGGAGCATTGTTTGATATAGCACCGGAAGGTGAGAAGATGGTGCAAACAAAGACCCAGGATGGTTCTTCTATGCTGTACATAGAGTTGCTAGGAGTTGGAATTGACTTGCCAGCACTAACAATAACAACAAAAGCCAGCTAGAGAGGGAAGCTTAGGGAGCAGAGCAAGAAAAGATGAAAAATAGATTTGGGTGGGATGTTACAAATCTAGAATAATCAACAGGTTACTACCTTTTTTCCACTTATCATGCATAGCTGCCCTTCATATAGATAAAAATTATCTTACCTATAACAGAGGGACAGCACAAAGATCCTTCAGCCAGCATAGGGTAGTGGACTAATATCAGTTCAGTGAATATCCAACTTGCAACTTAAAATGTCGTTGTGGACATCACCAGTCCTTCTTATACAAAGTAACAGAGAAAGGTGGGGAGAATGCAGAGTCCCTGTCTGTGTAACTGATTATGAGGACAAACTTGATAATTTTAACTTTCTTCTTCATCAGTTAACCTATGTTTCTTGTTCCTGCTCAGGTTTGTTAACTGATGACATGAGTTAAAGCTCTATTGCACCTGTATACAAAATCCTGTCTCTAGTGTATTACCAGAGTCACCCATTGAATCATATTATTGAAGATGTGAATACTGGAAAACTCCTGAATGAATTACTAGTGTTTCAGGCATAGTTCTCTTTATCCTCACTGTATAACAGCAACACAACATTCCTTTGATAACTGGTATCATTAACTTGAGCTTCTATAGCAAGTTTCTTTGATTCTTTGTTACATGGCATGGAGTTCAAAAGGCTAAAGGAAATCCATAAGATGATCCTCTTGTCCAGTTGTTTATTGAGAGTTTCTTCTGCAGTAGATTCTCTCTGATGGGAATTTGGGTAGTACACAAATATTTTAACAGTTTTTTCTTATTCTTAGAGATCTATTAAACTTATTGTTATTTTACCAAGACTCTGATAAGTCTGCAATGATTAGACATTGATGTTAAACACAGAGAAAAACAGATTGACTGATTGGAGTTCTGACCACTGGGTTGACATTTGTTTCACCACTTTTTTACAAGGACATCTCTAAGTGGAATTCTAATGCTACAGCTGTCCATATTGAACTAGTGCCAGTATCTTGTACAGGACTGTCTGTAAAGTAGGTCACTATTTTTCCTATTCTTTTCATCTGTTTTAGGTAAGTACACCAATCTTGTGTGTGAAGAGTCATCCCATGATCTGTGGCACACTAGGCACATAATAGAATCCAGAGTTTTTATAATGTATCATTCACAAGGTCCAAAATATAAGTAAATATTATTATGCAGGCTCATTTATAATCTATAAAATGTGAATGTATTAGTTTCCAGTGGCTACTGTAACCAATTACAAAAAACTTGGTGGCTTTAAACAATAAACATTTATTCTGTCATAATTCTGGAGGCCAGAAGTCCATATGAGTGTCGTTGGGCCAAAATCAAGGTGTCAATAAAGCCAAACTCCCTCCAGAGTAGAATTCACTCTTTGCCTCTTCCAGCTTCTGGAGATTGTCAACATTCCTTGGTTTGTGGCCAGATTACTCCAATTTTTAAGCCTGTGTCTTTAAATCTCTCTCTACCCATCTTCACATTGCCTGGTCTGTATATCAGTGTTAAATCTGCTTCTGCCACCCTCTTATAAGGATGCACGTGATTGTCTTTAGGGACCACTTAGAGAATCCAAAATAATATCCCCATCTTAAGATCCTTTACTTAAATCTTTTGCCATATAAGATAATAGTCACACATTCCAGGAATGAGGACCTGATATATTTGGGGGCATTTTTCAGCCTACCACAATGACTAATAGTTAAGAACAAAAAGAACAGATAAAAACTAATAAAAATAGATAAAAATGGGAGCAGGGTGCTCCCATTTTTGCATTTAGCATAAAAAAGCTTTAGAGCACTTTCAATACTTTAAAAGAAAATGTGGTTAGAGTGAGTGAACAGATATGGAATCTTAGCAGAGAAATGAAAATTATGAAAGAAAACCAAACAAAATCTCTAGAATTAAAAGAGCCATAACTGAAATGAAAATTTCTAATACTTAAAATATTTTAAGATATAATGGCTAAAAGCTTTCCAAATTTAGTTATAAAAATATAACTTACATAAAAATTCAAGAAGTTCAGCAAACCTAAAGAAGGATAAATAAAAGGAAAACTCTGCATAAAGACATCTTTGTCAAACTTCTGAAATTTAAAAATGAAGAAAATATATTGAATATAATCACAGAAAAATGATTATGGAGAGACTGCAGAACAACTTTAAAGGCTGAAGGAAAAATAAATTTAAAAATGCCTATTGAGGGCTGGCCCAGTGGCAAAGTAGTTAAGTGTGCATATTCCACTTTGGCGGCCTGGGGTTTGCCGGATTGGATCCCAGATGCGAACATGGCATCACTTGACAAGCCATGTTATGGCAGGTGTCCCATGTATAAAACAGAGGAAGATGGGAACAGATGTTAGCTCAAGGCCAGTCTTCTTCAGAAAAAAAGAGGAGGATTGGCAGCAGATGTTAGCTCAGGGCTAATCTTCCTCAAAAAAAGAAATGCCTATGGAGACTTCTGGTTTCTGGTCCAGCATATAAGAAGCTTGGAAGTCATCACCTTCATGCTAACAAGAAAAAACTGAACAAACTTAAGATCAAAAACTCTCCTTATATTCTTCAGAGAATTAAGGTCACAGGGCAAACTACTGCCCCCCAAATTAGAGAGACGGGGGGCAGACATGGAGAGTCAAATTTCAATGGAGCAGAAGTCCAAGACCAAATATCACTGCTCAAGTAGGAAGCAGGGTAGGAAAAGATAAACTGTATTTGACATGTTGCCAGAATCTCAGTGTGGACAAGCATGAGACCTAAAACTCAAGAAAGGGGCAGTCCTAATGGTCGACCACAGTTTCTTAGTTTTACCCCTAAGAGCCTTACTAGTTCTCATGGTGAGTGTTGGAGAAAAAACTGGTGTTTCTGACATGGAAGGGAAACATAGCCAATTTAAAATACACTTAGAGAATTCTGTTCTTAAAAAGGCCTCCCCTCAATGGAAACTACTTTACCAGAACCTAATCAAGTGTACTTTTACCAGAGCCTAACCAACCTGGGGGAAAAGTAATACCCAACTGCAACCTACTCTAGCTTTTCATGTGATGGAAGGGAAATGACCAATGCCAGCCCCCTCTAATCTTTCTGTGTCACATTAAGTGTGAGGAGGGAACTAAGAAGCACTTGTGAATATGATAGCCCAGGGGCACAGGCTCATTAGAAGACTGAGATCTAATTATAAAACTATAGAGTGCTTTCCCTCCTCCCACATCCAACGAGTACATCAATAGAGCTCTTGCATAACAACGAGAATGCAGCTATAACAACTGCATGTCTTAGAGCATATTCAAGATATCTCTGGGGAAACCCAAAGAAAACAGGAGAGACAAAAACATGGAAACCAGAGGAATATTTGCCTCCAACATTTATAGCTATAACATATAATACACAGCTTAATTCTTAGGCAGATATGCAAAAAGTCTCACACTGACACTGAGGTCTATTTGTCTCAGTTCCTTTACACAGTAGATATATCATGAATAAATTTTGACAACAATAACAAAAAATACAAAGAATGCTAAAAGGTTCAAAGCACAGCTTGAAGAAACAAAGAAAACATCAGAACCAGAATCAGATATGGCAAATATACTGGAATTATGAGACCGGGAACTTTAAACAGCTATCATTAATATGATAAGAGCTCCAATGCAAAAAAAGTGGGCAACATACATGAATTATTGGATAATATAATAAAGGAAATAGAAACTCTAAGAAACAAACAAAAGAAAATGCTGGAAATAACAAAAATGTATAAAAATAAAGAATATCTTCAAAAGGTTTAACAATAGATGGAACATGGCTGAAGAAAGAATAAATGAACTTGAAGAAATGTCAATAGCAACTTCTTAAACAAATGCAAAGAATAAAAAGAATTAAAAAGAT